TGATTTCTATCCAATAATTGTGGTTTATCAAACAAGAATTCAACCAATTTATAGGATTATTTGAATTAAATATTTGATTAACATCTTCTATCACAATGTCTTTCATAATATTCGCTAAGATATTAATATTGAGGTAAATGTGAAGCAGATTCGATAATTTTCAATAATTTTAATGTTATTAATTTAGCATTCGCTAAATCCAAGCTAAATTACTAACAAAATAATTCCCCAAGTTGCTAAGGAGTGTATACTGTATTAATGTAAAAGATTTCATTAGTATCCTGTATTTAAAAGGAAAGCAATTAATTTAAGTGCTCTGAGTTGTTGTAATTCATTTATCAACTGCTAAATTTAAGTATTAAATAAAATTTTATTGAAAAAATGGGGAACAAAGTATATATCATAAAATCTGCAGACAATTCAATTTTCAATTAGAATCAACCACTAGAAGATTAATTTGAAAGTATGGGAGGATAATCTTTCCCTCATATTGATCGAGTTGAACTGTATAAATTGAAAAGAGAGAATACTAAATATGCAACCATCTTTGAAAAAAGACATTCGAATACTGCAACTGATGATGAAGGTCCATTGCTAGAACTTCATGAATAACTTATGCTTCTTAAACATAGTCATCTGGTTAAATACTATGGTCTTTGTATTGATCCTAATTTAACTACAAATTTGTAAATGAGCAGATGGTTTTATGAGGCTGTGTATAAAACCTTGAAATAAGTGTGTGGACATCATTTTTCAAATAAGAGTTACATTCCAGAAAGACAATTATGGAAGAGTCTTCACCAAATATTATTAGCCTTACATTTTCTCGATGCAAGATAGAAATGGCATACTCATATCTAACCTGATTCTGTCTATTTAGATAAAAACGATTCTATCAAACTAATTCCCAAAGGAGTTTTAAGACTTATGAGTGGATATCAAGTAGTGCTTACAGGAAAAGGATAAGCATTGCTATCTCCTTAACAGATGGAAGGTTTGAAATAAAAGCTAGAAATTCCAATTCACGACATTCAAAAGTCTGATGTTTTTTCATTAGGAATGACATTCTTGGAGTTGATGACACTCAAGGATAGTTTTGAGTGTTATCATTACGATCTTCAAAATCCATACATTAAAGAATAAATATTGTAGGAGAGACAATTAGAAATTTAAAATATAGGATATTCAACCGATTTAGTCAGAATAGTCTTGACAATGTTATAATATGAAGAAATAGATAGACCTACATTTCTTGAAATATTAGTATAATTATTTTATTACATAGAACTCACATGAAGTTACTTAGAATCTATAAAACTTTAGGAATAATCCATTGCAGCCAACTACTCATACTCCTAAACAAGAATTAAAGATCTTTTAAAATAGATTCCCATCAGATTCTTCAAGCGTATAGATAGTTTAACCAAGCATCCCTATTACTAATAATCAATAATAAATATAGTCATCTCCTATTAGGATATAATCATAAGTGGTACCTCCTCAATATTTACCAATGAATAATCCTAAATAACAAGAAGCTGATCGTTTAAGATAAGAGTAGATTTTAAGAGAATAACAAATTTAATAACATTTACAATTATAATTAAGATAATAATAATAATTATTACAGCAATAATAATAATAATAACAATAATAATAACTATTAATTGAGTAACAATCACAATAAATACTTCTTTATTAATAACAACTAAATAATTTAAAGAACATAGCACCTTAGCCGAAAATAAGGGAATAGTAAGTTCCAAAATTGCAGGATTACATGATACAACCATTACCTACTCCACCAATTATTTTAGATCCTAATGCAAGAAATTCAACTGTCGATGAGTTCTAGGAGAGTCAAGAGCTCAATAATAGAATAAATTCAGCTTTAGCATTATCAAGATAAGCTATTAATAAATATAAATGATTATTTAATTTATTTTTTTATGAGAAGAACAACTTAAACTTAATAACCAACCTTATTTGAATAAATATTATTAAATGCTGATAAGGATGAAGAAGATTAAGAGAAATAAACTAAAGTATCTAAAGTTAATTAAAGCAAATAATCAACAACCCTTACAAAATCTCTGCATAATTAAGTATTCAATATAATTAACTTATAGTAAAATATATTCTATTAAAATAACATGGATTACAAGGAATATAAGTAATCTTTGCGTTATAACAGTAAAATCTTGAAAAAAATTGAAATAATTAACATTGATAATCCTAATGCAAAAATAATTCGCAATTTAACAAAATACCCCTTAAGCAGTTTATAAGAACTTATATTAGAAACTGTGGATGTGACGGATACTTAATTTCAAATATTTTAGTAAAAAGGAGGACTTTCGAAATGTTTTCAAAATTTAGTATAAGTTAAACTCAATTGCCCATCAATGACCACACTTTCTATTGATTATCTATTCCAAGGCATATAAAGCATTTAGAATTTAGATTTAAGCTATACTAAAATAGATAATTAAGGTATTTACAACTTATGTCAACTAAAATGGCCCTTTTTGAACACTTTTGTTTTATAATGGTGCAACAACGTTGATAATTTAGATGAAATAGGTGAAAATGCTGAAAATTTTCCGAGTTTAAGAAATATTGATTCTCGATTTACTTAAACAGAAAATGAAGCATACAATTCAATTTTTAACTCAAAAATTAGTGTTACACTAAATCTTGTAAGATTATATGGAACTCTTGTTGATTTAGATACTACTTAATGGAAATCAATCTACTTATTGAATCTATTCATGAATACGATGAAAGATTATAAATTTTAAGAATTTAGAATCTAAAATGATCCTGCCTGTGTTTAAAGTTCTAGTGATTATAAATAAATGAAAGTTAATACATGTAAATACTATAGAATACTTTAATAGTAATAACCACAGAATAGAAAAAAGTGCATTTGAATATTTCTTGGAAAATCACTCCTTTATAAGGATTGTTATAATTTGTAGAAACTGCAGAAAATGTGAGAAGAAAATTTGCTAATTTTGGAAAATTATTCGAATTCTTATAAAAGTAATGGTAACTTAGAAAGTCTTTGTAAACTCTTTCTATTTGTTTTGATTTAATATAATGTGATATAAACAACTTTGATATTGTTTTAAAAACCATTGTTGACTTTAAGGAACTTAAAAAACTTAAATTTTATGTAAGGAATTAAATTTTTTTAAACCCCTCAAGTTACATCTTTTATTTTAATTAAATTGGCGAACTCTAATAACTTATGTATCTTCAAGTAAGTATTCGATATATTATAGTTAGATTTATAAAATAATGGAATTGTTATTAATGAATCTTTCTTAAATAGAATTATTAGGTCTATCTAATAATTATCATATTTGAATTTATTTTACTTAAATATAAGGTTTAACGAAATTTAGAATATCAAAGATTTGCATAACTTTAACTCTTAAATTATTAATTCTATCAAGAACCCTTATTTGAATCATATATATTTAATGGAAACTAGAGAAGAGAATCTTAACTATAGATTCAAGCAAGCTCTTTCTCTGTTTCATAGTAATGCTTCAAAATTTATAAACATTAATGAATTTGAAAATATTATCATTTAATAAGATGCACAAAATTTTAAGGAAAAAATTTTTAAATAATCGACAGAACTCTTCTATAAGAAAAAGATGAAATTAATTAGAAGTTGTGTGTTAAGTAATTGTCATTAATTAAATTATGGAAATAGATTTAGACAATAAGTGATTTATTAAATTTTAGACATGATAATTAATTCATGATTTTTTGTATTTAAATTATCCTGAATCCATATCATTTTATCTAATATAATAAAACATCGTCATAATAATTTCATAAATAAATACCAGTCTCATTAAGATATAAATTATAATTGCAAATATGGTGGTTAAACTAGTTTTAGCTATGTTATTTTAACAATATAATTAGAATAATATATTTGATTGGAATTAAATATTGATAGAATTTACATTAAGACATAAAATTAAAATATCGATTAATCAATACACTTATATATCCTAATAAGAAATGAAATAATATTATTTTTTAGTTATTTGTAAAAATCAATTCTTTCCCTTTCTTTATTTCTTAGATCGAGCAACATCCACAACATTCTTTGTTGGAGTTGACTGTGTAGTGTTACTCAATTAAGAGGGATAAATTTATTTTTCAGGTGTGCATGAAATATTATTATGGTTATTGTTGTTACTATTTTTTTTATTATTATTATTATTATTACTATTATTAATACTGTTATTATTACTATTATTATTATTATTATTGTTATTATTACTATTACTATTGTTGTTATTACAACCGTTGCTATGATCATCAAGTTCTTTCATTATTTGTTCAAAAGTATTTCTTAGTTTTTAGACAGCTTTTTACTTTTTTAGATTTAATTTCTTTTTATGCAATTCTAGATCCGATAAATCTTTTCTTAAGTCAAGAACAATATTATTCGAATTCTAATAAAAGGAAATTGATTTATTAATTTCATTAGTTGATAATTGTGATATTTATGTATTTTACAAATCAATCTTCTATTCCACTTTTTAATTAAATTCATTGACATAAGTTACAAAATCCATCTTTTCATTTTTTATCTCTTCCTTAATTTAATCTTTGTAATCTGTCAATTTCTAAATGAGATTATTCATGCAAGTATCAAATTATTTATCCACTTATTCGGAATTGTTGTGGATTGATTAAATTGATATGGTAGACAGATTTTCTATTTTGCCTTTCAATTCAGCCTCAAACTCAGATATTAGTTTTCTTTGATGAGAAACCAGATCATTTGGTACATGAAATTCCAAAAAACAATCAGCACAACCTACTTTTAACATGCATGTAGTACCTATCTTTTATTCATGGTTACATTTTTTGTCTAAGCAGATGTATTTAACTTTCTGACAATCATGGTGTTTAATTCTGCACTAATTCATATATAAATTAAATTAATGAGCGCCAAATATAATTAATCAATTCCTAAACTATCTCTATGTCTAGCCATCAGGATAAATTATATCTACATTTCCATTTGGATATTCAATTTACTTTACTTTTTAACTATTAATTTTTTATATTATCCCATCACTGAAAAATGTCTATTCTTCCCCACTAGCATTTATGTACTTTTCTGTTCCATCCCCAAATCGAATTTCCTTAGTGCCGTCAATAAGATGGATCTCAATCTATTAATTAGAAAATCTGTAGATCTTAAATATATCAAAATATAATACATTTGGTCCATTTGAAATTGTAATTTAAGTTGTACTGGCATCCGCAAAGTAATATATTACTGTTCCATTAGGCAAAGTCTACTTCACATCTTTATTAGTAAAGTGGACAATAACATATCCATCAGGAAATACTTCCCTTTTTACTCCATTGTGGAAAACTACCTCTTTTTTACCATTCGAATATTATCTTGATATTTTACCATCGGGTCCAACATTTTGAGAAATTATTTTTGAAGGAACATCCTTATTCTTTTTATAATTTTGATAATGACGATTTTGGTCATAGTTAAATTCCTATTCAGAAATCAAACTATTAATATTTTTTATAGTGAATGGGATACCCTCATTCTACATTTCAATTAAATCATATTTCTTACTATTTTATTATTAAGTTTTTCTTCTCTATTAATCTTATTCCTCATCATTATCCTCTTAATCATCATCACTATTGTCTTCATCTTAATATTCCTCATCATTGTCATCATCATCTCTATATGAATTTTATTTAGTATATTCTTTTATGGATTACTTATTTTTTGTTGATAAATCCTCACCAAAACTTGTTGGACTTTGTCTTCTATTATTTTATTAAGGAACTTCTTTCTTTTAAGAAAGACCAGATGCATTAGATTTCAATTATATTTATTACGATTTGCTTTATTAAATTGTAGCCTAGGAGTTTGGTCGCTTTTATTCTAGAAGTCTAAGTTCTAATGCTTTAACTTCTGCTTATAATTCTTAATTTCTTTATATGAGCTCTTCATTTTATTTCTTTAATCTATCATAAGATAACTTATTCTTCTAATCTTTTTGCTTTTATTCTTCTGTTAATTTTTGTACTTATTATTTTAATGATTCAATTTCTTCTCTCTCTTTTCTATTAGGCAAATTTTAAATAGTTTTTTATTGTCTTTCTTGAATTCTTTTTTCTCTAAGCATTTTCTTTTTCTCTTCTTCTTTCCATCCCTCTAATTCAAGTTTTTCTATTTCTTTTTGCTTTTCCCACTCCTCTCTCTCTCTTTGTAATTATTTCAATTAATCGTCACATTTTACTTTAGCTTTCTTGACTTTTTCATTTTCACTTTTGAACTTAGCAATTTCTGCATTTAAATTATCAATTTTATCTTAGACATATTTCCTGGCTATTTCTTCTTCATTTTCTTATGGTTTCTCTTATTTTTTTTCTCTTGCATCCTTTTCTTTCTTTAATCCAAAGTATGAGGTCGCAATCTTTGATTATTTAGGAGGTTCATCATTCCAGTCTTCATTATCATCAAATTAATATTCTTAATATGAATCTTGATGAATATCAGATTCCTCTTTTTATTTAATAGATTTTTATTATACCTATTATTATTATTATTATTGTTTAGGCTATTATTATTTAAGTTATTCCTTTGGCACTTCCTATTTTTTTGGTTTTTATTAGGCTTCTTTTTACTCCTATTTAAATTCAACTTTTTATTGTTATTACTATATTTTTTAAGGTTTAATTTAATTGATTTAGTTTTAGTTTTATATAGGTAAAGTTCCTGAAGCATTATTTTCTTTCAAAATTTCTGCATGTTCTTTCTTAGCAATATCAGATCTTTGTTAAGCATTTGATAAAAACTATCTTGTTCCTTTTTTCAAGAAGGGTTTCTTCTTAACGTGACCTTGTTCATCAAAATTAACTTCTTCAAGAGGTTTTTTATTTTTTGGAGGCATCTCATCAAAATTTTGTTTTTTATTAGATTTCATTGGTATATCATCAAATGGATTTTTATTTGATTTAATTGGCAAATCATCAAAAGTATTTCTATTTGTTTTAATTGGGATCTCATCAAAAGCTGAATTTTTATTTGTCTTAATTGGAATCTCATCAAATGCTTAGTTTTTATTTGTTTTGATAGGAATCTCATCAAAACCTCCTTTAGTGGTTTTAATAGGAATGTCATCAAATGTTTGATTTTTTGTCGATTTAATTGGCACTTCATCAAATGCATTTTTCTTATTCTTTATTACTTACTCATCTTGCCCTTTCTTTGAAGGTTTTATTGGCATATCATCGAAAGTATTGTAATTTTGCTTTTGTGTTTAGATTGGGATTTCATCATAAGGATTAGAATAGTTTGTTTTCTTATTGGATTGATCATCAAATTATTTCTATTATTTCTAAAAATATTGTATTTCATCATACTAATTTTTAGTATAATCGTCTTATTTTTTATTTTTGAAGGTCATGTCATCAAAATTATTATTGTTTTTCATAGGTTTTATTGGCATTTCATCAAATGGACTAGACTGTTATCTAAAATCACATTCATTTTATTAATATAGATTATTTTTTTTTTAATTAGATCTGATTTATTGTTAATCATGGTTTGATTGTTGTATTGGCATATCATCAAAGGCAGATGCTTTTTTTTGTTATTATTTTTATGATTTAATGTAATTTTCATCGTAATCTGATTAATCAAAACTTGATAATTGTTGCTTAGTTGATATCTAATCTCCTTATTCTTTTTGTCTTAGTTAACGTTATTTTTGGTCTTATTTATTTTTATATTAATTAAAATAGTCATTTTCTGGTAAATTATAATCATGAAACTCATTTCTATAATTCTAAGTTATTTTAATATCATCAAAATGTAATTATCTATTAGGGTTCACAATGGTTTCCTACTTAAAATTAGTGCTTACTTCTTGATATTTGTTAGGATTATAATTGTTGATGAATTGCGAAGATTATTGTAATTAGCTTTCTTCAGGTTTCATTTGATTATAGAATTAATTCATGTCACATACTTTGTTATGGTAAAATTTTTCTAAATCAATGCCTAAAAATAAGCAAATCAATTACCAGATGTTTGGCTTTGCATCATCTACATCATCTGCTGTTAAAACATTTTCATCATGTTCTACATCATAAAATCGTTGGGATTGATGTTTTGATTCATGACATCATTTTAGAAGATTTGTTAACCAAAATTGCTTCGTTGTTGTTGCATATAGAAATTGAATTCAAATTTTAACAATTAATAACTTCAAAATTAACTCCAAAAGTCATAAAGAAATTGGGCTTGGTGATCATTTTAAATCTTCTTCAATTATTAGCAATGTTGCAGGGCTTCCTTAATAATCTCACTAGTCTTGCTTTCATCAATCAATCTTTGAGTACGAAGTTTAAATTACAATAAGTATAATAATTGAATATATGGGAATCTAGCTTATAAATATAAAAATTACCTATTCTCTTTTTCTTCTTCAATAACCTACTTAATGAAGTCAATGTTTTCATCAAGATATTTATAAATCTCTTAAGTAGCATCCTAAAATTCCTTTTAAGTAGTATTAGTAAATGTAAATCCTTCATTGTTTATTGTTATATCCATTTCACTTGGAATCAGGAATTTTGAGGATTCATCTTCACTCATTGTTGTTTCAAGAGATCCGTTTTCATAAATTTGATTATGTATCTTTATTTTTAAGCTATCAACCTATTGTTCTTCAAAAGAAATAATGGCGTTACTGCCTTCAACCCTTACATTAATTATCTTTAGAGAATTTTCCTTATTGAAGATTTCAAAAGTATTCTCAACATTAGTGACAGCTCTATTAAACTATAATGTGATTGAATTATTTGAAACTTTATCTACTTTTGTTACGCCATAAGGTTGTACAACTCCGACTAACCACCTATGATATAAATAAACACCATGTTCTTTAGGTTATATATAAATAGCTTGTTAAATCAGTTCTGTTTCTTCTTTCAATCTATTAAAAGGTAAAGGCAATAAACCTAAGATTTACTCAGTTTTAATTCTTTCAAGGATATTCTCAGATTAATTATAATTTTTCATAAAATATTTGCTTCTGAAATGATAAGCTGAAAAATTACTAAAATTTTATTCGATCTAAATAATTAAAATGAAATATACTTTTTTCTTAGTGAACTCATCTTCCTTTCCAAATGCACTAATTGATGATAACCAATTTCTATAATTCCAAACATGAAAATTACGTTCATCTCTATCCAACATTTTGCTACATAACTCATATTCTTGTCTAATGGCTTCTATCAATTTAAACTAGTTATCTTCATTACTTTATAATATGATTAATTAAATACATTGAACTAATGAGCTAATCTATTTCTTAACTTCTTAATACCATCCATTATCTATGAGTCCAAAGAGTGTAAGATTTGGGATGCTATTTTAGTAATATAGCTATGAGCATAAACTCAGATTAAATCAATTTGAGTAATTGCTTATATGCATCTATGCTTTTTGATTCTTTAAGTAATCCTCCAAGGTGATCAAACTTTGTTTAAAGTACTTCTCTTCTGTAATTATAAATAGTAGCAATTTCAGGACATAACTTAGCCATAAGCTCTGAAAAGGCTAATTGATCTTCGGGTTGATTCACTTAATTTTTTCTCACTTTAAAAAAATAATCTAAAGAATCCAATATCTATTGTCCTTTTTCTGCTCTTTGCTTTATCTCTTCTTCAGACAACGTTTCAGTCTTTGATTTAGATTAACCATGCATCATCTTTTATCAGAATATATAAAAATTAAATAAAATAATTTAAAATACATCATTTGAATAAGCCAAGGTTGTTTCTTTTTCTTCCTGTGTATTTGGTTGTCTTTTTAACTTTCCTACCTAATCTAGTCTATTTTTCTTTTCTTTTAACAATCCATAGTTTAGATTTTTCATTTACTTTCTTTTGTTTTTTTTATTTCCTAATTTTCTTTTATTGTCTTCCAATAACCTTCACTTTTTCCTCATCAGATTCTTCTACTAATCCTTAAATAACATCCATAGTCTTTTTGGATGATTATCCTCCTAGTTGTACAACAAGATAAAGCTTTTTGGCTTTGGCAGAATTAGGATAGTCAACAACAATGTCACCACTAAAACCTAATTAAATAGCTCTTCTTTAGAATACCTGCTCTTAAAGCGGCACTAGTAATCATATTTATTTATTCGTTGTTCTCAGGATAGAATTGGAAAACTGCCCTTGCATTGTTTTTTAAACAATTTCTAAGTGATTCAAAGAAAACAGTGCATCTCCTGTAGGGATTTTCTGATTTTTTGAAACTCACACAAAGCCATTAGATTACAGAAATAGAAATAGCAGCATCAAAAACACCTGGTCTAAATTTGAAACCCTATCCAATATCACATAGCAATAATTCTCCTTCAGTCTTTTCTTGTTAAGCAACATTCAGCATAGATTCTGAAATGTCTAATCCTACCCAATTCACACCTTCCTATGTTAGGTAAAACCCTGAGATTCCGGAACCACATCCGATGTCTAGTACTAAACTACTTTCCTCAGGATTAAGATCCAATAATTAGATGGCCCTTTCACTTAATTAGGTTTGAATATTGATAATTCTATTACAATTCGTATATTTAACACTTTCTTATTGATTGTAGTACTAGAGAATGAATAGATTATGATATTTACTAAATTTGGTGGTAATTGTGATTCTGGTCGTGACATTAATTTTTATAAATTAATTTTAATGTTTTATATTCTCAGATTAAGCGAAGCATCATTTCTTTAAATTCTTTAAGAGAAAGCAACCCATCTCCGTTTTTATCAACTTCTGACATTAAAGTTTCCCAAGTTTCTTAAGGAAGTTTATTTCCAGACTAAAACATTTGTTTCAACTCTTCTATTGTTATTGTTCCACTATTATCTTTATCGATGACTTTAAATGCCTATTCTAATCGTTCCTAAGTTAAGGCAGTTTTCCTATTGATAGTTGCCATCACAAATTCAGAGTAATCTATAATTCCTGATTTATTTTTATCAACTGCTTGCATAATCTATTCAACTTCTAAGACGGCTTCTGATTCAGGCATTATCTTCATATAACCATCAAGTAATTCCTTCTTTGTCAAAACTCCATCAGAATTCTTATCCAGACTTTAAAAGGTCTTAAGCAATTCTTCTTTCTCCTCCTTGGTTGTGAATTACTTTATTATGTACATGTAGGCAGCTTCTTAAATTCTTTAAGTAGTCTATCATATGTGACAATTATAAATACTCTAAATGTCTTCATGTTTGTTAAGACACTTTCGAGTACTGGGGCTTTGACTTCATCTTTTGTATATTAGAGTATCCAAGGATCATTGAGACACTCTTATGCTGAATATCGCTTAGATTCTTGATATTCAAGCATTTTTCGAATTAATTATTTGGCTTCTGGGGAAATACTTAACCATTATGATGAAGATAGTGAATAGGTTCCCTTTTTTATTGCTTCAAAGATGTCGTCATCAGTTTCCCCATCAAAAGGTGGCCTACCACTTAACAAAATATATAGAACTACTCCAGCTGACCATATATCACATTTCTCGTTATACTATTCGGAAAACATCTCAGGTGCCATATAGAATGCCTTTTAAAATTAAATTATGCTTACTGTTCCGATTATTTCCCTTAAATTCTTCCCGGTAGTTCTTTTTGAAGTACCAAAATCAATAACTTTTAACTGACTGTCTTTCTTTTCACTCTCGTACAATAAATTCTCTGGTTTTATATCTCTATGAACTATCCCCTGATTATGACAATAAGCTAAAGCCTATAAGATTTGTTTCATTATCTTTGCAGCATCTATTTCTGAAAAATTATGAATCTCCATTAATTTATCATATAATTCCCCACCTGTACAGAGTTCAGTTATTATGTATAATTTCTAATTAGTTTCAAAAAAGTCATAAATCTTAATGATATTTGGATGATCCTAAACTTAGTTTTTAGTTTACAAGTGATTTCAATATGTTAACTTCATTGATAATATTTTGATATTCTTCAGAGTGTTTACTGTTTATTTGCTTTATCGCTCTAAGTTATCCACTGGCTTTATGTTTTGCTTTCCAAACCACTCCAAATGCTCCTTCTCCCAAAGGAGGTTGAATCAATTCATAATCACTTAAGCAACCTTGAGTACCTTCATATATGTCTTTATAAGGTTATCGATGTTCCTACATGAGTTTAGACATATAATTACATCGCATTCTAATTCTTTCGATTGCTATTTGCATTAACAAGAACCCATTAAGAAATGAATAAAATATATGTTGTAAAAGATGAGAATAACAAATAATATGCTTTAAAACTTTAAAGCAATGTATCACATTCTGAAATAGCAATGAACAAGTAAAGACCCATATTACTTCTAGTTCGATTATGGAAATTAAATTTTATAATGTTATCAACACTTATGAATAATTTGAATACAAAATCAACATTTTTAATTATTTTTGTGTTGTAATGGATTATTGTAATTTTGGAGATCTTTTTTAATATTTGAATAGTTATCGTTTTTAATTGAATTTCGAATGGAAGAAGATTATGTTATTTTAGGTAATTATGTGTCTCTCTAAAGCAGATAGCTTTTGGTATTTGGGAAATCCATTAATTGAATATTATTCATCGAGACATTAAACCTTCAAACATTCTTGTATAAAATATTGATAATTAACATTTTTTATTAAAAATTTGTGATTTAGGATTGTCTAAGATATAAGAAAACTAAAATACTGTTAATATCGGAACTCCTCATTATATGGCTCCAGAATTAATTGATCCTAATTAAGTAAAAGCAGAATACGACAAGTCCGTTGATGTTTGGGCATTTGGAGCACTCATTTTCGATTTCTATTCCCAATAATAATTATTTAGTGGACTCACAATGTATTAAATATTTGAACAAATTAAGAGTTGTTCTTTATTGCAATAAAGGCTTACTTCATATATTAAAGATCCACTCCTTCTTGATATAGCAAAGAGGTGTTTGTCTTAGATTCCAAATACAAGGCCCTCCATTGAATAAATCCTTATTTAACTTAACGAACCCTTGTTTTAGGAACAAAAAAAAATATTTAAGGAGTAAAACTAAAAATTTTTTAATCCAAAAGAATAATAACCTTAAAATCAATAATATTAAACAGAAAATGAAGGTAAATGTTAACAAAAAATTGAAGATCAGTCGAAATATATAATTTAAGAATAGCAAAAATAAGTAGTTTAAGATGAAAACTAAAATAAAATTTCAGATCAATCATCATAAACAATTTAAAATCAGTCATAGTAATTGATGTAGAATTAACCAAGCTAAATAAAAAATAGTAACCATATTAGAAATAGAGTTAGATTAAGATCTTTTCTAAATGATTAAAATCTAATTGAATAATTGTGCACTATGATAGAGAACCGCTCCTATTAAGATGAAATTATGAGATTAATAGATGAAATAATAATAAAAAAACTTGAATGCCAAATGAATCAAATTCAATGAAAAATTAATGAAACAATTAATAATTTATAATCAAATGTAGAAGATAACTTTATTATCACATATTAACTACTATTAAGAGTTAAATTAAATTCTTGAATAACTAAAGATTTAATAATAATAATTTTCGATGGATATCTAAATTTAAAAGTTCAAAGTTTTTCTTATTCTAATTGTCTTTCATCCTATTCAAGTTCTTCAAGTTTCCTCTTTAATTAAGTCACAGTATTTATCATAAAATCAAAAGAGACTTTTGATTAGTCTAAAGTAGATCTTGATGATTTTGATTACATAGATTTATTAGCAGACATATTTAAGCCTTACTTATTAAGATATATCTACAATAATAATAGATTATACTCTTTAAGTACTTGGAATCTTTATTTTCATTTGATTTATCTTACTCGAAGACTATCTTTATAATTAAAAATATTTATTTGATAAAGTTGTACTCGGAATCACGTTTTATGGATGTTATTAGTTAGATTAATTAGATAATTTGGATTGATGAGTTTATTGTAATTTTTTTGTTGTTTAATCAGAAGTTTATAAAACCTTTTGAGGAGTTTATTCTAGTTATTTGGTTCCAATTTCTTAATTTGTTATATTTTAAGATTTCCTTGACATCCTTTTTTACTTTTCCAATGGCAATTCTGAGATTGATGGTAGATTAGGTAGTTGGTTAAAGGTTGTTCTATTGACATTCAAATTTGTAGTAGATAAAAGTAGTTTTTCTTTTTCATTCTCTTCTTTTGCATTGACTATTTTTCTTAATTTTTAGGACATGATCTCTCTAAAATTGATAAACTAAATTGTTACGCTTTTCTTTCAAACAAGGTTTATTCACAACATTAAGTATATTGTAAAAAACAATCTAGGCAAACTTAGGTTGTTAAATCTTTCCAACTTTAATTGTGTTATAATTGTTAATATTTTTCTTCATTAATTTTACCCCAAACTTTTAGAATTAATGGAGGAATATGATTAAAATTGAATTTTTAATCTTCTTATTCATCATTCAATAATTAGACGAGTTCTTTAATTTATGTATATAATTCATCTTCTGTTAATTTGTTTTGGCAGATTTTCTTTTTCTCCATTAAAATAGCAGTTGCTTAATTATCATTTTAAAATTCATTTTAAACTTCAAATTCTAAAATTGAATAGGAACTCTTACCCTCCTTAAGATTTTATTTTTGTCTCATTTTAATGTTTCTATTGTAAGTCACTTTGGGAATCTATAAATCTTATTTCTATTTAATCTTTTCTAATTCTTCAGGCAATCTCGTAAAGTCTTTCTTCACTAAATTCTTATAATTTAAAATTTATACTTATTTAAAACTTTCGATAATAAACTATAACTTCAATTAATATAGTTAATGAGAAAATCTATCGCAATTACTACAGATGTTTTTAAATTGATAAAGAAGAGATTGCATTTCACCTTGATTATTTATTTTAATAACAGTCTAAACCTAATCTTTGGCAAAGGAAACTGGCTCTTGATCTTTCCTTAAAACCCTAAAGATAGGAGAAAACACTCTTGGTTGCTGCAAAACATCATTGAATTTATCCTTCACTTTAATATTAGTACAAAAAAGCAACCATATTCTATTTTCATAATCAACTTTAAAATATAAGACCATTCTTATTATTTAAATGTTCCCTCCTGATACTTCCAAAATGTGTTTCACAATATTCACACATAACTACTCTAAATCTGCACTTAATAAAGGAGAATTGATTGAATCTGCTTATATCAAATATTCTGGTCCATCAAATGTAGCAACTCTTTCAACTTGGGTCTTCTTCATATCATTCATTTTATTGATATTTGTTTTCCTCATGACTAAGCAGAATTAAGGAGACCATGTCACCCTAATCATAGAGTTTTAATCATTTTTTGGATAAATAAATCTCATAATTAAGGGATTAATACTTTTATAGTACTAAATTTAAGTCCTTCTCTCTTTAATGAAGAAATATTTTAAAACTCTCATAATCTAAATACTCAAACATAATTATCTCTTATTACTTGTTTTACATCTTATGCATATAATAATTATAATATACCTGGCTAGTTATTAATTACGCTGCTGTATTTTCTTATTTAAATGAACTTTCAACTTGATCTATGAATACTCTCTCTTTCGTCTTTCTTATTACTTAACCATCCTGTATAGTGAAATATCCTTAAAGTTATAAATAGTTGTTACTAAAGTATGGTTGGGCCCATCTATAAATTACTGAATCTGCTACAAATATTCCATCACAGCTATGTCCAGTTTTTGGATTTTTTTTCCAAATATGGAAAAACAACCACTCCGTACAAGTCCCTAATTTCATTAATTTGTATAATTAATTAATTTTTTGAATGTAAAACATTGTTACAATTAATGACAAGCAATACAACCTTCTATATGAACTAGGGAAAGGAGCTTCAGGAAAAGTGTATAAAGCATAATATTTGAACTAATTTTATGCAATTAAGAGGCAGGAATACTTTGGAGAAGGAGAATTAGAATTTTATGAGTAGTTAGTCCAACAAAATTTTAAAAAATGCAAGAATTTAATTCAAATCTATGACTTTTCAAAAATTGGTAGATTCTCGTATGTTGTTATGGAACTAGGGGATTATTCATTATATGATGCTCTTGAATAGAATAAAATAGACTAAAAAAATATTCGATATATTATTAAGTAGATTGCCTAAGGAATTAAAGAATTACATGAGATGGGTTTGGCTCATAGAGATTTAAAACCTGAAAATATATTAGTCTAGACGATATTTTCAGAATAGTAATCTTAATAGGTGTATAAAATTTGTGACTTCGGAGTTGTTAAAAATGCTTCAAAATTGGTTACCAAATCTGTTGGTACTCCTTATTATTTAGCTCCAGAAGTAATAAGTAACAATTAGAATTCATATTCTAAAGAATGCGATATTTGGAGTTTTGGAGTTCTAATCTATGAAATACTTACTAAAAAGTTGCTTTTTTAAGGTATTTTTAAATTTTTAAATTTTTCTTAGCTAAAACAATCGAAAATATAACAGATGCAATATTAAAAGCAACAGACAATCGTATTGCAATGCTAGTCGATGAATTGAATATTCAAGCAGACTATAAGGAGCTATTAAAAAACATGTTGAAAGTAAATGCTCAAGAACGATATAATATCGATTAAGTTTTGGAAACTTTGAAACCTTAATCTAGATCTACTTCAAGATAGAGATAAAATAACTTTGTTTAGCAATTCCCCCCTGTCAATAATATCAGTATCAGAGGTTTTCCTCAAAATAGATAGATATAGGCTTCAACTTCTCCTTTACAATAACTTAAAAATCAAAATACTACTTCATAAATACCAACTATTAAAAACCCAGAATAAAAGCGAGGAAACTAAATGTATAACGCTCAATAACTAAAATAAGNACTCTCTCTTTCGTCTTTCTTATTACTTAACCATCCTGTATAGTGAAATATCCTTAAAGTTATAAATAGTTGTTACTAAAGTATGGTTGGGCCCATCTATAAATTACTGAATCTGCTACAAATATTCCATCACAGCTATGTCCAGTTTTTGGATTTTTTTTCCAAATATGGAAAAACAACCACTCCGTACAAGTCCCTAATTTCATTAATTTGTATAATTAATTAATTTTTTGAATGTAAAACATTGTTACAATTAATGACAAGCAATACAACCTTCTATATGAACTAGGGAAAGGAGCTTCAGGAAAAGTGTATAAAGCATAATATTTGAACTAATTTTATGCAATTAAGAGGCAGGAATACTTTGGAGAAGGAGAATTAGAATTTTATGAGTAGTTAGTCCAACAAAATTTTAAAAAATGCAAGAATTTAATTCAAATCTATGACTTTTCAAAAATTGGTAGATTCTCGTATGTTGTTATGGAACTAGGGGATTATTCATTATATGATGCTCTTGAATAGAATAAAATAGACTAAAAAAATATTCGATATATTATTAAGTAGATTGCCTAAGGAATTAAAGAATTACATGAGATGGGTTTGGCTCATAGAGATTTAAAACCTGAAAATATATTAGTCTAGACGATATTTTCAGAATAGTAATCTTAATAGGTGTATAAAATTTGTGACTTCGGAGTTGTTAAAAATGCTTCAAAATTGGTTACCAAATCTGTTGGTACTCCTTATTATTTAGCTCCAGAAGTAATAAGTAACAATTAGAATTCATATTCTAAAGAATGCGATATTTGGAGTTTTGGAGTTCTAATCTATGAAATACTTACTAAAAAGTTGCTTTTTTAAGGTATTTTTAAATTTTTAAATTTTTCTTAGCTAAAACAATCGAAAATATAACAGATGCAATATTAAAAGCAACAGACAATCGTATTGCAATGCTAGTCGATGAATTGAATATTCAAGCAGACTATAAGGAGCTATTAAAAAACATGTTGAAAGTAAATGCTCAAGAACGATATAATATCGATTAAGTTTTGGAAACTTTGAAACCTTAATCTAGATCTACTTCAAGATAGAGATAAAATAACTTTGTTTAGCAATTCCCCCCTGTCAATAATATCAGTATCAGAGGTTTTCCTCAAAATAGATAGATATAGGCTTCAACTTCTCCTTTACAATAACTTAAAAATCAAAATACTACTTCATAAATACCAACTATTAAAAACCCAGAATAAAAGCGAGGAAACTAAATGTATAACGCTCAATAACTAAAATAAGTATAAAAAAATATTTGAATTTATTAGAATTGATATATAAATTATAATGTTAAATCAAATAAAATTCAAAATTACTTATTTATTTACTTTAAAAGATCTTCCATCGCTTGATTATGAGTTGCTAAGCCTTATTTGTAATCATTACAAAGATTTTTAACAAGCTAAATAATATTTTAGATATGTACCTAAAACACATCATTGAATTATTATCCATCTTCCTCTTGCACTTCATTTATTTGAAGTTTTAATTTTAGTAGTTTTTCAGTAATGTCTTAAATTATTACATACAATAAATACCTGTAAGCACTTTTTCAATATTTGAAACTGATTCTATATATTTGTCCACTTCTTATTATAATTGATTATCTAGTTCATCAAGTTTTTAAACTAAACCTTATATTTATTAATCATCATCTCCATTCCCTCCCTTTTTCTTTTTAATCTTATTTAAATCATCCTGATTTTTGGCTATTTATTTTTCTAAATCTGATCTTCTTTTATCACTTTATGTAGATTCTTTTTCTAAATTATCAAGTTTTGGTTTTTATTCTTAAATAAACTTTCTCAATTTATCAATTTCTCCTTTTATATCATCTTTCTTCAATTACTGATTTTCCTTTTATAATTGATCTATTTATTTTTATTTTTCTTTAATTTCATCCTCTTATTGCTTGGCTTATTCTTTGAGATTCTATACTTGAGCATCAAGAGCATTACATTCATCATCTAGATCCTTATTTTCTTTCTCTTTCTATTTAAGTTGACTATTGGCTTTATCCAAATCTTTTTTCGCTTAGTTTTATGCTTAAATGGCATTTTTAGCATCTTGTTCTGCTTTTTATATTTTATTTTTAACTGCTTCTGGATCTAATTAAGCTATTTATTTTTCAGCTTAAGCTAATTTGTTTTAGGTATCTTTTAATTGTTTTTTCAAATCATTCAAGTTTTGCAATTCTTATTTTAATTTTTCAGCTTCATTTACAGCTGCTTATCTTTATTAATCTAATTAATCACATTCTGCATCCAAATCTTTTACTTATTTTTCTAAGTCCTTTCTTTATTGATCTTTATCTTTTTGCTCCTTTTGTTCTTTTTATTTCTACTCTTTTAACTTATTTAATTCATTTTACACTTTAGTTAATTAATCTTCTTTTTATTTTAATTATTATTAGGCCTTATTTAATTCATCATTGAGTCTTTTAATTTCTGAATCTTCTTGTTGTTCTTTTATTTTTTATTATAGTTTTGCATCTAAGTCATCACATTCCTTATTGAGATTATTAACTTCATTTTATAGATTTTTCTTCTCTTTTTCTTGTTCTTTAATTTAATCCTTCAACTATTTAATTTCATTTTAAGCATCCTATAATTAATTTTTCAATTAATCCTAAGTCTTATTCTACTTCTACTCAGTATTGTTAATCTAATCTTATAATTTTTAGTTTTGTTTTTTGGATTCATTTAATTATTTATTTAAATCATTATTATTCTATTGTAATTATTTATTTTCTTATTGTTTACTTTAATTATCTTACTTTTATTTTTCTAAATTTTCTTATAATTTTTAAATATCTTTAGCTTGTTAATCTATTTATTTTTATTTTTAGTTAATTTCTTTATTTAATTAATTAATTTAATCATTTAATTAATTAATTTCTTTTTATAATTCCTTATTTTCTTGTTCATATTCATCCAAATCCTTATTCAATTATTCTGCATCGCTGTGTTTATCCCCTAGTTCTTTTTAGGCTTTGGCTAAATCCTTTTATTATTGCAGAGCCTTTTCTTCTGCCTAATTGTACTTTTGATGTAAACTATTATTATCTTAGATTAAATTTTATTTTTCTTTATTCAAATCTTTGATTTCTTTCTCAAGATCTTTAATTTAATTCTATTAATCTTTAACTTTTTATTCTAACTCAGCAATTTTTTCATCCAATTGATCCAACTCTTGATTGGCTGCATTAATCTATTTTGCCTATTCATCATTTTTATCCTTCAATGTCTTATTATTTTTTTCCAAAGTAGCAGTTTTCTTAAGTTCTGCATCTAACTTCCTCTAAACATCTTTAACTTCTCTATCTCTCTTATTATCAGCATCTTTAAGTTCTTTTTGTATTTATGATATTTATTTATTCTATGCCTCCAGTTAATTGGCTTTATTCTAAATGTCTTTTTCAAGTTAATCTATAGTCTGATCTTTTTCATCTTCTGTTGCTTTGGCTTTATCTACCAATTCTTTGATTTATTTTTCATATTAATTCATTTAATCTTACAATTACTTTTCGAGCTCTTATATATATTATGCCAATTATTTAATTTTGGCTTGAGCATCATTATATTGTCCTTCATAGTTTTATACTCTTTATAAGTCTTCAGCAAAGAATTACAATTGATCCTTAAGGGAATCTATTTCTGCCTACTTCTCTTAAAGTAGTTTATAATATTGGTCATTCTATGTAACAATAACTTAGTTATCGTGCTACATTTCTGCCAATTTAGCGAGGGTGTCATTGATAATTTCTTATTATCTATTAATTTCTCCATCTTTTAATTTGATGATCTTTTCTTTGCCTACTATAAATCTTTCTCTATCATTAACAGAATTTCTCAAATATTGAGCCTCCTTCTATAATGTACTAATTTAGTTAGCTTGATTCAAAGTATTTCTTTGTTCTATTTCCAACATCTATCCTAGACTTTGTAGTTGTTCATCCATAACTTACTTACTTAGATATGCGTCATCCAACTTGGTTTACAGAATTTACAATTCGTTTTTGAGATTGGCATTTTCTGCTAATGCCAATTACAATTCTCCATTTCTGGATCTTGATTTTACAATTTCATCATTGGCATTTTAAGATTTCAGTTCTGCAATCTCTTTGTCTTTACCTATAACAACGGATTTGAGAAATTCAGCTTAGTCTTGAGTTTCCTTCAGGAGTTCTGAATACTCATAATTTTCTTCCTTCAGTAAATTGATTTCAGACTCGTATGCCTCCTTCATTTTTTCACTTTCCTATTGAAGCCTTTCAATCTCATCGCTAGGATTAACCTTTAACTTTAGTGCTCTTATTTCGTTATCCTTTAGCATCAAACTTAGTTTGAGTCTAGATATCTCATCTGATTGTTTTTCTGGTTCTGGAGATTAATTACTCATTTTTATTAATAAAGTTTATTTATATATGACTGAGTCTTAGTGTTAAATTTGCATTTAATTTGAAGCCGAAGATATTTGTATCCTCTCTGAAATGCTAAGTTAAATTACTTCTCCAATTTCAGGTATGAAATCATATGTAAATAGACCATAAAATACCTATTCAAATGTTTCCTTACATTTTTAAGAGTTTAAAGTTTCGTAAATGTCTTGCACAAATATTTGATACAAAATACCTTGAAATATGTGAAAAATGCTCACATAATAGACTCTAACAAGTCTTCTTGCCATTATTTTCATCTTCTGTTACTGAATACAATGAAGCCCTAATCACATTACAAATAGAAGAAGGATTAGACAAATTATATGAATCTATCCAAGAGAAATAATAAAAGCTTAAGTAATCTAAAGAATAATTCGATAAATTGGCCTCTCAATTGTTTAACTGTGAAGATGATGTTGAAGAGAGCAATTCCTTAGGAGAAGAAAGTAGTAGTAATGAAGAAATCAGTATAAAATATTTTATTAAAAGTAAAAGAAAAAAATGACGATGACGAGCAACAACCTATAATGCAGTTTAACAAAAATTCTAATAAAAATAAATTCTAAAAGAGGTCAATAGATATTCTAAAAAAGTGGTTTTTGGATCATCTCGATAATCCCTATCCAGATAATACTGAAAAACAGAGGCTCTCTAAAATAACTGGTATGCATGTTAGATAGGTATAACTATTTAATGATAGTTTTAGATTTAAAATTGGTTTACAAACTCAAGAAAAAGATATTTGGAACCTTTAAAAAAAAAATTCGAACATGGATTGTTGAAAGAAAGTGATAGTCAAGAGGAGGATTCTTCGAAAGAATAGAAAAAAGCATTAAAATTAAGTTAATAGCAACCACCATAATAATAATAAATTTTATAGCCATAATAATTAAATATACCTCCATAATAAATACAATAATAATAATAATTTTAATAACAATAACAATTGTAATAATAGTAACTTCTTTAATAATAATTTCAAATGCAAATACCTCTTTAAAAGAAGGTGAAAATGGAAGAAGGCTGCCAAAATAAGATATCTGATGCTAGCAATATTAAATAAGAGGCCAAAACTGGATCATTTCCAACTGATCTTCCATAATTTTAATAACCTAACCAATTTCAATAATTCTAATAGATGTAGCAACTAGCTTAGTTATAATAGTTATAATGGCTTAATCCTTTAAATTAATTGAATCCACTTTAATTTTAACTTCCTACATAATTCTTATCTCAATATTATAACTTTTAAGATCAATCAAAAGCTCCCCCTCCTATCAATGGATTATCTTAAATACATTAAGTTCCAATATTTCCATTATTACCCTAATTACAATAGGCGGGATTTTAATCATTTTTATAGCAAGGTCCAGGATAACAGATATAATAATAAGTGTAAGTTCCAAATATCCAGGCTTAAATACCATAAATACCCAATCTGTAAGCACTTTAAGCAGGATTTTAATAATTCAGTGGATAACATTAAAATTCTTAAAATGGAGTAATCTATCCGATGTATTAGTAATAAATGCAAAGTGAATAAAAAAAATGATATATATACATTGCAAATATTTTATTTTGATATTAAATCAATATCCTCTTTGAAAACCTACTATCAAATTAGATGGGAGTATCAATTGAAGTTTCATTTGTCATAATTGCCCTAAATGATATTTTCCAATATGCTCATAGAATCAATTTTGAGTTAGGTAATCAAATTATATATTTTTAAATTTTAAGTTCGCAGTCTAATATACTTTAGTTATTATTCATTATTTTACTCTTCAGACAATCATGAAATTGTTCTTCAAGAAGAATAACCAAAATTTATGAATAAATACTTTTATCATACCTATCTAAATTAATTTTAGCTTTTGCAAATATCTATAATTTAAGAAGAAATACAACAAAAATTGCACTTGAAATGTAAGCCATTAGCAATGAGGCTAAATTAAAAAAACATATATTATATAAAATGATCTCTTTATTTAAACCAAAATAAAGAAATAAAAAATTCTCAAAATTGAATCAAAATTTCAAAGGAATAAATTTTGCTTTAATTCTTCCCTTTCAATGTAAGATTCGTTAAACTATTGTTATATGCTCTCATTTACATAGCTTTGAAGTTAACTATACTTTAGACTGCTGCTCATTCTTCTTTATTTATTAAATGCAGCAGGCGTATAATAATAGTCATCACTAGAATAAAATAAAGTTATACTTTTCATATTTCTAAGGAGTATGTGTCCATTATAAAAAGTTCTCTTTATTTGAATTATTAGTTTCTTTCTATTATTTCTTAAACAATAGATATTTTTTATGCATTCGATTTCTTCTTGGATGTTTAATAATAGTTCTATTTCTCATGTCATTCTATTAGAATATTACATTATTATCTACATATTATTAGATTCTAATGGCTGTGCTCTCTCTACTTTATTAGATTGGTTATTTTTTAGGTTCTTCATCTTCGTCTTCCGAATCTGTGAGTAGACTTACATAGGTTTTATTGAGAAAGATAATTTCTAAAGCTTTTCTTTCAAACTCAATCTCAAATTGATCAAAGTAAGAAGGCCTTCCTTCATAAAATTAATTGATACAACCCTTTTTAGAGAAACTATTATTTTATTCCTAATAATTTATCTGTGAATTCTGGGATTCTTTTTTTCATTCCAGAATTCCAATGATTCTTTATGGCATTATCTGTTCTTCCTTCTAGATGCTTTGCAATTTCTGCCCATTTATTGCTTATTGCTTTATGATACAAAAAAAGGAGCCACTCCTCACTGGAATCCCATGGAGTTTTTTTAATTAAAGGATTCAAATGATTATGCCATCTAAGACCATTAATAAAAATCAATACCTCTCTCTACATTATTTTCCAATCCTTCCTGGCAATTTGGAGGCTATAAAAGTCCATTTATGAGGACCATACTACTCTACCAATTACATTACTTGAGTGTCTTCATAATCAGTCCAAGGTTCTAAAGATAATGGAAATTGATACTTTTTTTTGTTTTCTCTATTTTCTTTCTCATTTTTAATTTTGAAATAATATATTTAACTGATGAATAACAAAATAAAAACTAAATAATATAAAAATAAGAACAAATTTTCTGAGCTTTTGTAGGGAACTCAACTAATTGAATGACAACATCCTTTGCAGTATCACTATGATCATAAGTATCAATATAAATAAAATTGTATTATAAATAATCATATACCTGATGATAATATTTATCTAAATAATGGAATTTATTTATCAACTTTTTATTGAATTAGTTCTTTATTGAACAAAACAAATTAACGACGAGTCAAGACCAATAAAAAAACTTCCTGAAAAAATATTCGTGTGATGAAAACAAATATATCTAACTTATAGACTATATATCAGTATTTATATCACTCATGATACCTCAATATAATCTATCGATAACAGTACTCCTTAGATTCTCAAATAAAAGATAATAATACTTTGATAATTTAATTCATATCTTACTATATATTGTTTTAAGTGATTTATAATAACAATAAAAATTTAATAGAAATTATGCAAACAATTTTTATCAACAAGAAGTCTTATTTACTTATGGATACAATTGGTAAAGGAAGCTTTGGAACAGTTTATAAGGCTGAAGATTAATCAAATAAAAAACTTGTTGCTATCAAAATATAGCAATATATATCAGAAAATGAGTTTAATCTAATACGAACATTTTTAGGTAAAGAGTTTAAAAATCTTGTAAACGTCTTCGATTACTAAATTCAACAAAATTAGATATTTATAGTTATGGAATTAGGTTTGAAGTCTTTGTAGAATAAAATATCACATACTATGGTCACTCCAAAAGAAGCCAGATATGTCATGAAGCAAATTGCGAATGGAATCAATGAATTGCACTCTCTAGGTATTGTTCATAGAGATTTGAAACCTGAAAATATTCTTATTTTTACTTTAGAAGATTAGGGTAGAACTCAAGAAGTTTACAAGATTTGTGATTTCGGAACTACTAAAGATATTTAGAAAATTAAGACACCATGCGTTGGAACACCTTATTATTTAGCTCCGGAATAGTTGGCTCAAATTCCCCTTTAAAATTAGTAAGCCACTTATGATTAAAGTGTTGATATTTGGGCATTTGGTGCATTAATGTATGAATTGTTTACGGGCTCTCCACTATTTAATGGTAAAATTTATAAATTTAAGTTAGGCAGAGCCATTCCAGATATACATAAAAAAATTAAGACGCTTGAAATAGAATAAGAGATTAGAAGACTTCAATTGTTAGAAGATAAGTATAAAGAGCTCTTAATCAATATGTTATAAAGAGATCCAAAAAAGAGAATAACAATTGAAAATATAAAAAAAGAATTGTCAGAAATTGCACCACAGAACTTGGTAAACAAAAATGTTCAAATTTAAAGAATTAATGTGCCTGCCATTTTATTAAATTAATAGGCATTTTAAAAAGAAGGAATAAGGATTCCTAATGATAGTCGAAATTAATAATAACTTAACATTAATCAGACCTAATCTCGATTCTAAGATAATAAACTGATTGAAGTAAGAATTAAATTGATAAAAGTTCTCGAAAATTGCATAACCAGGAATCTAATAGAAGCCATTTTAATAGAATAATGGCCAGATTATTTAAAATTAGGGTAACTAGTAATAATACTTAAATCAAAATGATGGCTTTGCAAGATTAAGTAGAGAATAGTTCAAATCTATAAGACAGATGTATTTTTCCCCACAAAGATGATTTATTTTGTTCAAATAACTTTCATTAATTTATTCTCCTCTGTCACTTTAAATTAATCAAAATTATTAAATATGAAATCATTTTGTCATTATCATTAAGATTAAATACTTGTAGAATATATAAAATATATATGCTTAAGAGTATCTTCTATAATAATATATTTCCAATTATTAATTCAGTATTTTTGATTATTGCAAAATTCTTAAAAGACATGACTGCTATTTATGTAATTTTAATATGATAATTTTATTAATACCAATAATTTTGAAATATAAAATTATAGCTATTGATTTAATTCATATAAATAGATAACATAAATATTTATAATGAACTTTATGAATACTCACTCATAATTTAATATCTAAAGAAAAACTGTACTTCGGCCAACAATATCAAGATAATTTACTAGAGAAAAAAGCTAAACAAATTTTAACCCAATAACTCCATCAGTAAGTTACTTATTGTAATGATTTAGACAAAATTTCGTATTACAAATAACATTCAGCAAATAAATAGAGATAAAATCCAGAAAGCTTGCGGGAACTATTTTAATTAAAATGATGATACAACTGGAAGTACAAAAATGTCAAAAGGATTGAGTTAGCAATTATTAAAAAAACATGAAATTGAGTTTAAGTAATCGTGGTTTGAATAAGAAGACAGGGAAGAAGAGATTCAATTCGCTCTTCTTTACTAAACTCTAGAAAAGATCTTATGATTCTAATACTTGTATTGATATGATAAGTGTTAATGTGTTTATAATTCATATATAAAAAAATTTACTAAATTCGATTATTTTATTATAAATGATTTAGATTTATAAACAAATTTCGAATGATAAAAATAACATAGATATTAAAATATATACTAATGAATAAGACCCGCAGATTCAATGCTTATATTTTGAAATTTCTCTTAAGAATAATTCTCTTAATCTTGGAATTTATAAATCGCCTTCTTATTCAAAATCTAGATATATAGGTCCTATCAATTAATGAATATAAGTACCAGGAGCAGCTGTTTCCTTTTTTTTATCTCTAACTTTTTAAAGCATTGGATGTTCAATTGCTTGATCCAAAGTGATTCTTATCTTTGGACTAAATTACAGACATTTGTCTAGAAAATCCAAAGCCTCAGGAGGTGCTCCTGGAAATATCTCAACAAATGCAACCTTAGGTTTTTTAGGAAAACTCTTCAAGTATTCAATAGCTTTTTTATCAGTGACAAAATCCATGTCTCTAATTTAATTATAATTGTTTTGATACTTTTCGCCAGGTGTTCCCAAGACAGAAAAGATAACAGTGAGTTAATCTGTATTTGAATAAGGAAATCCTCCTTTTTTTGCGATGGCACTTCTTTCTGGACTAAGGGGAAAACAACTGGTTCCAGGGAATAGAGGAGCTCTATCTAAGAATGTTGGCGCATTTTCTTTCATCATGTTTAGCAATTCTGCAAAGATACAACCAACAGACCACACATCGATAGCTGCAGTATAATCTTTTTCCAAGAGAATAACCTCTGGGGCTCTATACCATCTGGTTACTACATGTCCAGTTAACTCTCTTTTTACAGCTTTGGCATTTAGTTTGTTTTATTTTTATAGCATTCTAGGTCCTTTTTTCTCATCCTTCTTTTTAGGCTCTTCTTATTGTCTAGCAAGTTCTTCTTCTAATGCCTAATCTGTGGCATCAATCCCTAGAACATAATATTAAATTAACAACCTTGCACACTTCTGGCTAATCCGAAATCACATATTTTCACAGTGCAATCTTCATTTAATAATACATTTGCTGGCTTTAAGTCTCTATGTAAGACCTTAGCAGAATGCAAATATTTAAGGCCAACGCAAATATTGTAGACAATAGTTTGGATGTGGAGAAATTATAAGTGAATGGGGGATTTGAATAATTTTTTTAAGTCACTCTTTGATACTTAGGAAATAAATACTTGAGCATATTCCATAACGACGTATATGGTGTCAAATGATTTAGGGTCTTGTGGTTCAAGAATTTCAATAATTTGAATTAGATTTTGGTGCTTCAATTCTCTTAAAATACAAATTTCTCTTAAGATTCTTTTGCAATCAATTTCATCATCAAATATTGCTGTCAATCTTAAAAATATAAATGAAATAGAACCTCTTAATAGCCACCTTTTTGTTTGTGGATTTTTACATAGCCTCTACGACTTATCCATATGAGCCAGATCCTATTTATTTGATTATCTCATAATCATCTCCAACTTGCCAATCTGAAAAGTTTTTAGGGAGTTAAGATAATTTTTAAAGTTTCTAAGCGTCCTACATTAAATAACTTAAGAAAATAAATAAAATTATTTTATGATTCATTTTGCAGCGAAAATTAAGTCTTTTTCTTTTTAAAAAATTATGATAATTTAAAATAAAACTCAATTTCTAAAATTCAAGTTTAGGTCAATATTCCAGTCATCGTATAAATTAGATTGGATCAAATTTATTATAACCAAAATATTATTTATTGATAAAGGTCCTTAATATTTCTATATTAATTGATTAAGTATTTAATTAAATGTTAAGTGACGATTAAATATTATAAATAGTGTTGACAATCGACAGTATGATACTACACTTGTAATTTTACTTTACAGATGAAATCAAATATTTGATAATGGGATTATCTTCAGTTGGATTTCACCTAATTCTCTTCATTGCTGAATAATTATGTAGTAATTCCTCAATTAAAATGACTCTGAACATATTTAAATTAGCATGGATCCTATTTATTTCTTAATTATTGTATCAAAATTGGATGGTCCATATAGGAATTCAAATTGTGTGCATTTTCAAACTAAACTAGACCAAAACTAAATTATTGATTCCTATAGCATTTGCTATACATTTAGTATCAATAACATCAGCCAACCTTGATTATTTGCCAACCGGAATAATTAGAAATTGTCTCTCCTACTTTTTATTGCTTTTTCTCTTTAAGAAACAATCCTATAATTTAAATCAAGCACAAGATATAATTAAATAAATCACATCAAATATTTATGTAATATTGGATAACAATTTGAATCCAGTATATGATGAAGAAAGATTCGCATAAATACAGAAGGAGTAAGTGATTATTTCATAGGATCATTATGTCGATAATATTCTTACTTATAGAGAACCACTAAAAGTTGGAATATATCCCTAATTCATTAATAATAAAAATACTTATGAATTTAAACATGCGCTTTCTCAACTAAAAACGAATAATAAAGAGTGGTCAATGTAGAAATTTGATACTTTTACAGATTCTGTAATAATAGTGAAGAAGGTGTATTTGGGTAATGATCATGTTTATAAATATTGTAATTGGATCAATTAAAAAAAACAACTATTTTATCTGGTTGTCAAAAAATAAAAAAAAAATAAATTAAATTAGAATCAGATTGATATTGCAGATGAACGTACTAAAAAAATGATGAAGACCTTGAGCAAAGTTTCTCATGATATGAGAACACCATTAAATGCAATTATAAATATGTAGCTTTGTTTGAGAGAATAAATAGACACTTACTTATTCAACCGTTACTTAAAGCCCTCGCTTAATTCTTGTAGATTGCTCTTGAATTTGGTTAATGATATTTTAGATTCGGCTTAAATATAGAACAACAAAATCAGATTAGTATTTCGAAAGTTTAATCTAAAACGGTTAATAGAAAAAACAATCTCAATATTTGATATTCAAAAAGAAAAAAAAGAGCTTAAAATAATCCTAAATTATTGTACTAATTCACAAATTAATTAATTTGTTAATAGCGACAAAAATAGAATCAGGTAAGTAATTCTGAATTTATTAAGTAATGCTATTAAATATTCAGAAGCTAAAAAGATAATTGTTATCAATTGTGATTATCAAAAAACCAGTTCGACATTTACTATTTAAGTCACTGATTCAGGTTTGGGAATCAAACCAGAGAATTTATAATCTTTATTTTAAGAATTTTCAAGAGTTGAGGATCTTGCAAATAGGGATGTAAATCCTAATGGAATAGGTTTAGGATTATTAATCAGCAATGAATTATCAAAATTATTATCATCTAATAATGAAGGGATCTCTGTTTAATCATAATATGGAAATGGATCTACATTTTCATTTTCAATATTTAATCAAAAACCTTCAGATGAGGATCTATCAGAGTCTTCTGAAATGGCTGCTTAAGAAATTCAGAAATTACCTGAATCTCATTTTTTGAACACCCAGAGTTTAAGGTAGGCTTCATAAGATTTTGCTGTTGCTGTCAGACAAGCCTCATGTGAAAATTGTCAAGGAATTCAAATTTAAAGTAATTAAGATATCAAAAAATATAATCTGAGAGTCAATTCATCCAACCTATTATCTTCAAATCGCCTATTACCTTTTAATACTGATAATGAGAAATCCTACCAAAGAAAATCCACAACTTAATCTAATTTGATTATTGAACAAATCAACAGTTGGTCAGACCCTTCCCAAAAACAGCCCCCTATTCTAATCGTTGATGATAATGAATTTAACATAATTGTCCTTTAATACATATTAGAATAGTTATTTTTAACTTGTGATTCTGCTATATCTGGTGAAATTGCAATTAAAAAATGTCGCCAAAGAATTAAGGATTTTAACCAATATAAAATCATCTTTTTAGATATTGAGATGCCTGTTATGGATGGAATGGAAACTGCAAATAGACTATTAGATATTGATAAATCATTAAAAATAGTTGCTTGTACAGGAAATAGATAAACGCCTGAGCAATTAGAAGTCTACAAAAGAGTAGGAATGTTTGGAGCCATAGAAAAACCTGTTACAAAAGCTAACTTGAGAGATTTGTTATGTAAAATTTTAGAATCAAGAAATGATGCTTAATTTTCTCATTATTTTTGATTTTATTTAATTATACTACGTAATAATTGTATCATCAATTGTTAAAAATTATTGATCAATTTTTAACTTTTAAGACATACAAACTTAATTTTTCAATCAAATATGTTAAATTTAATAAAATCTGTAACCCAATTATTATAATATTCTGACAAGAAAATCTAGCAAAGTCTTAACCAACCTGACTAAGAAATTCAATTAACATAAACTTACTATCTGAATCATGATTGAAGCCAATATTTTTTTCATTTTTATTCAAGAACAAATTTTAATTCTACTTCGTTATTGAAATTTTTCTATTTCTTTATATATTTAGACTAATAGATTTTTTTTACTAATAACATATACTATCCAATTATAATAAATTTGTAGTTACAAGATAAATGAATTTTTTTTAATATTATTTATTTAAAAAATATGAATTCTTTGGCCAATTCTAATTCCGTAGTTAACATAAACAAGTTGGGAAGGGAAATTTAACATAAACTTCCGAGTTATGAAGATAGACATTTATTTTCATAGAATTTTTTTAGAAAAAGTACAAGCCTTCCTGAAAATTAAAATTTTTAGCAATTCTATTATTTAAATAATTTGATGTATAAAAAGAAGCAAATAAATAAGAAAGAAGAGGTAGAAGAATATGAATTAAAGAGAGAATAAAGGGAATAAATTTTAAATCATGATAAATCTATATCTATTTAAGAAAGGATAATAGATTATATAATTGAATTTCAATAATAAGAAATTGGTAGTAAAAAATACACATATGTGAAAAGATCAACAGAAGAGCCCAGAATTTTTACCACTTAACTGACTAGAGAATAAATTTCATAATCCGTATCAACTAACTGTAGTTATGATGAGGAAGTGTAAGAGTAATTAATTGAAAAAAATTTTGTAGAATATCTCAAATTTGGATTTGAAAATTTTCATTTGGGAGAATGCTCATAGATTTTATTGCAACATAATTTAATAAACCCAGATAAAATAATTATTTATTTGAATAAAGCAATAAAGGAATTTAATTTTCGAAATGATAACAAAAAGAAAGAAGATTTAAGAGTTAGTTATGTTGGTATTACTTCAGAATTCGATTTTGAGCCTATAAATAAAGAAAAGGAGTTTTAAGATTTCTAGAGTTTCTCCTTAATGATCGAAAATTAATATTCCTAATCTAGATTATAAACAAGTGTCAATAATTAAATTACATAAAATCAATATTTTGCAAAATTAAATGTCTCCAACAAGATTACTAATCAAATTCATTTACTATATAAATACTTTTTAAAGACTAAAATAAGATAGTTTAAGCCAAAGATTATTGTTTTATTCATACAAATTTAGGATTCTATTGATTTTGAGACATACTATTTATAAAAACTAATTACCTAATTGGAGAAAATTTCATAAAATTCTCTCATAATTATCCCTTGTTTAGCTTAAGATTCCCCATATAACTATGAAAAATACTTAAAATATAATGTTTTAATAACCAATTCATGTTTGGATTTTTCATATAAACGAAAGAATAAAGCATATTATAAATGTGAAGATATGTCTCCTTAATAATATAGAGAATATAGTTATTATTTTGCATAGAACTAAAAAGAAAAATAATTTTTTGATCATTAATATTCAGCATTGCAAGTTAGAAAAAATAAATATTAATCGGTAGATGTTGAAATGGAATATTTATAAGATAATTAACTTTTAGTTTATTAAATCTCTTCAGAATAAGAGTAGGAAATAAAGAGTAAAGATTAAGAATTTGAATTTAATGTTATTGGAATTTTAAATCTGATAAATCAAATTGTTCTAACCAAAGTCTATGATTTTACGTTTAAATAACCTATAAAAGTTTCAGAATTTGAACACTTTATTTCTTATAATGTAGATAAAAATTACTTTATACTTTGTATTGTGTAAGAAAATAAATTATTGTATAAAAAATGCTAATACAATTTAAAGATTGAAAAATAAATTGAAGAGTAGATTTATCTAAAAGAATATCCATTGTTTAAAACACTTAATTTCAAGAGTTCCTATTTATTGCTAAATTCATATTTATATTAATTTAATGTATTAATTTCAACCAATTCCTCCAGTGGACATAAAATGTCAAAAAATAACTACACTGGTTTTTAATACTATGTAGAGGTGTACAAATATGATTTAGATAAAATAGAATAACCAAAAAAATACTGTAATCAAGAAATTAGTAAATAGAATATTATTTCTTTAATAAATTTTTCAATTACTGAGCTTAATCAAAATAAATTCTTATTATTAGGAGGTTCATACTAGTCATCTTGCCAAGAAGAAGATTTTCAATTGAGAACAGTCTCCTTAATAATTGAAATTGATGAAAACAATTAGAATATTTTGAAAGTAACAGAAAATGCTGGTAAATAGAAGTGTTATGAAAACCCTATTGTTGTAAAAATTGATAATTATTCCTTGCTTTACTTTGAAACACAAACCTAATATTTAGCAACTCCAATTTAATCCTAGATTTAAAGATTGTCTCTTTTTGGAAATTCATCAAATTTGATATTAGAAAATTGCTTGATATTGAATTAATAGAACTTTGAGTTTTATCAAAAAAAGAAAAAACTATTTAAATCCAACCAACTAAATAGAAAAATAATTTCATAAAGTTAAAATACATTAGTCTTTTTTGTGATTGTTTAAGAATTGGTTTAGGATAATTTATAAATATAAAATCAAGAGGATAGTATCAATTTGAAGATGCTATCAAAATAGGCTTTATCGCAAGTTCATAAATTTTTATTTACCTATGACTTGATGAAAAAAACGATGGATATTGAAGTTGAAACCAATCAATTTATTATATAACAGATAGAAAAACCAAGTAAACTCAGGGAATCTTGCCTATATATCAATGTAACTATTTAGTTTATTTATTTAGTGGTTGGAGGACAGAAATAATCAATATATATTCAATTATAATTAAGTTTAAAACTTATATTTGTTGTATTTTCATGAAAAACCAAACCCAAAAACAAGAAAATTTATATTTGAAGATCCAAAAGATAAAGTTGATTATCTGGATTTTGAGGAAGTCGTTTTGAATGATTTCTATAATGAACAACTTTGGATAGTTAGAAAAATTATTCATTAAGATCACATTTCCTTAAATTTATATGAAAGGTATATTTTAAAATATAAAATTAGTGATTGGATAAATTTACAAGACGTAAAGGATTCAACAGAAGCCTCAATTACAAAGGTCCCCATCACTTTAATATATACAATAGCTTCGATCAAAGAAGACTTTTGTTTGATTGGACTTGAAGTCAAATTTTAAAAAGAAGGAGGAAAAAAATGTCCGTATTTGGTTTTATGCACAAGTACAACCATTTATGAATTTTCAATTTAAATGATTCGAAAAATCAAGTGGGAAAACATTCTAAGATACAAGCCTAATTCATGGGAAAAAGAACCCCTGTAGTTCTTAGAATCTCCCATACAAAAAACAAAACCAGTTTAATTTAATATGAACATTTAAATTCCTTCCATAGTGGCAAGTTTTGAGAATGGTGACTTGTTGGTGTTTTATAGCTATTGTAATGTAAAGAAAGAAAAGGAAAACTAGTATCAGCTTGAAATTAAGTATTTAATCTTAAGAGACTTAAATCAATCAGATAATGATTCAATGGAATTAGAAGATCAAAAAAAAGAATTTTAATTAAAAACTATTAAATACAATTCTAAAAAAGAGGTTAGCATAGCTAAGGTAAATACAGTTATCATAGAAAAAAACAAATTTGAGTTTTCAGTAATTGTTGAAGAGGCTGATTCATAATTATACAAGGTTTTTTCAGGTGATGATGCTTTAAAAGAAAATGAACATATTGCTACAATAAAGCAATGCAAAATATTAAATAATGCTGCTCCTTAACACAACTAATGTATATTAGTAGGCCCTAATAAAGAAAGTGTTTATCACCTATAATGATCATAGAATTTGGTTTTTTATAATCTAATCTAAATTTTGCATTTAAGAATGTTTCATTGTTGTTTATACAATGCTGAAATTAGCATTCAAGGTTTTTCCAATAATTATAAAACACTCCTCTATAGATATTAAATTATTTAAGAATTCTATTAACTTCTCAAATTAATATTCTATTAAGTAATTTCTCTTCAGTTTTATTTTTTATCATGAATTATCATGGCAAGTCCTATTAGAACCAAAGTTACTATATTATTTGTATTTAATAGGCTCTAGAATTTATTATTTTTTTAACTATCAAAAAAAGATCAATTTTACTTATTAAATTTTTTATCTTGATCCATTCATTAATATTCCTGGCACTTACTTGTAATAATATTGTTCTTATTGTATTTTAATTTGAAAATCCTAAATCATTGTTTTATTCGACAACTCATTTAGAAATTTATTGAATATTCTATTTTGTAATAGATATACCGATCTTAATCTCAAAATCTACCCATTATTACAATAAATGCGAATTCATATTTTTTAATTGAAAAGCTTATAAAATTAGGAGAAAATAAAAAACAAAAAAAAATAAGGAATTCTTCTTTAATTAATATTAACGATATGCTAAGATCAAAGAATGATTTTATAAAACTAGTTTGCAATTGTTATAAATGAATCTAGACTTTTATGAATTAAGTGCAGATCTTTGGATGAATATTATTTAATTCTATTTTAAAATTTGATTCAAAAAAAATAATGAATCAAATTTAAAAAAAAAAATTCATTTCAAATAATTAAAAAATATTCTATATCTTTAGAAGTGAGAGTATAGCTACTTAAATAAAAGAAGTACTAATATGGACCAAAAAATATTTTGATTATCTACATTATAGTAATTGAAAAGTAGCAATATTTAAAAGTTATTCCAATAGAAAAGAAAGTAAAAAGAATATTAGACTTTATTCTAAAACCAAGTCTATTTTTAATTAATGTCTCAGTTTCTATAATCATTAAAATAATTGATGTTATCATATTAGCCTTTTAATAGATGCATATTTCTCGATTATATCTCTGATCTCAAATTCATTAGGTAACTAAAACAAAGATGGTTTTTTAAAATTTATAGCCAAACTTATCAATCTCTATCTTAAAATAAATTGAATACATTTTTAGGATTATTAACAACAAATGTATCATGGATATACTTTTACCAGATCTCTTTTTTTCGTTAAGCATATTCATCTAATAATGAAAACATTAAAACTCTTTGAATAGAATAAAGAGATACGTATCAATATGTATATGTGATCTTTCTTCATATTCATAGTATGAAGTAATGCCTTTTAGTTAAGCAAATTCATAAATGATATCATCAAACTCCTCTTTTATTAATCTCCAAAGCTTTTCTTTAAAGTTTCTTTTTTTACTTTTCATATTCCTGAAATTTCTTTAAATAGAAATTACTAAAAATTAGATTAAATAAATATACTCTTTGCTGTCCATCTTTAATATTTATTTAGAACACTAATGGCCAATATTATGGATTATAAATAAGATGAGATTACTTTTTTAGCCTTTTATTTGATTGGTTTCTTTAAAGTCATGCAGATAGCGTTTAATGAAAGTGATGACTTAAAAATAGTTCTTTCAGTAGGAGTATCTCCAAAATCTTTAACAGAAATTAAGGATTTCGTTTATAATTGCCAAACTAATAATTTACCTCTGGCTTCTAATCGAATCTATTTTTTTTAACACTAAATAATTAACAGATAATGTACCAATAAAAAATACTGTAAATTATGGAGGAAAATAGTTGTAAAAATACATTTTAGCCATGCTTTTTAAATTGCATTTCTGTATGAAACCTTTTGCTTTGTCATTTTTTCAATCTCTCTATATTTTATAATCTATTCTTTCACAAATAATTTGCTCTTCTTTTCTAATAGTTTTTCTTCAGTGATATTTTTTCCATTATTAAGAACTCTTTATTATCTGATTTATCTATCTGATTTTATTTGCTATAATATCTCAGGATTTAGAAGATTTTATAATCGAGCCTCGGGTTAATATATTTTTGGTTAAGATTTTTGCTTTCTTGTTCTTGGAACAAAATCTTCAAACAAAGATTGTGCTTTTTATGGTTTGTTAACTTTCAGTTTTCTCTCAAATCCAAAAGTGACAACGACTGTACATAAAAAATCATTTTGTGAGTATAATGTCATAAATAAATAGTCTTCAGTAAAAAATTATGTATTATTGTTAGTGAAAATTCTAATTGATTTACTGTTTACTTAATAGTCAGCATTAAATTTGGTTGGAAATTCAATTTTTAATGAAAAATATGATCTTAGACTGTTTATTTGAGCATTTTAGCTTAAGAATGTTATTTGAATAGGAGATTCTTAATCCTTGATTCTAATTCTGTAGTACTGGAATCGAAATCTATGAATTTCTAATTTCATTTCATAATTAAGATCACATTAAGTAAGGTAGTTATTTTAATAATTAGTCACTTTATTAATATTTTCAGATTCTTATTTGTTTATCGTACTATATAATTGTTGATCCAAATAATTCAATTCATAAGCGAATTAGTTCAACATTTTAACATTGTTATAATTTTTTTCGAATTCATCGTATATTTCAAGTATTTCATTTGATCTTGGAATAAGTTTTTCAGCAACCTCATCCTTGTGTTTTAGAATTCTTCTTTATGTGGTAGTTGGTGATTTATCCTATTATATATCAATAGTTTATTATGTTTTGCATCTAGATGTAATGAGGGTTCGAAAACTAGGAATTGCCAATTGGGTTTGCTATTTATTTTTTATATAATATGAATCTTAAGATTATCGAGAATATTTAGTCTCAGAAGTAGTTAGTTTGTCAAACCTTTTAATTGAGCTTTGCAAAGTGTTTTAATACATTTTTTAATATATAATACAGAATTCATTATTTAAGAGAATCAGATGAGTGACACTAACTGTCCCATCTAACTGTTTTATTACTGTGCTCTCTTTGAAGAGAATTATGATGAGAAATTTATTTAAGTGAAGGTTTGAGTTATTTTTGATGGACATCCTTATATTAGGTGGCTGATTCAAAATGTGTGCCACTCATATTCCTCTTTTTTCTGATCTCAAATTATGCACTAAATCCAGGTTCAATTTGATTGATTAATTCTGATAAACAGTCTTCGTCAGCCTCCATTTTATATTTTGAGGAAAAAATTTTATTCAAATTACTAGCTTAAACACTTGATTTTGCAAATGCTTCATTATCCTCTTCAATTGTCATCTCCGTTATACAATAATTTCCCATTTTCAATAATTTTTTTATAGTTCAGAATCAATTTAATTAAGTTTATTTAGTTTTGAATATTAATATTGTTTAAAATCAAATTATGTGGTTCAAGCTTAAAACCTACAGTATTTCCTGACAGATAATATTAATATTATATTGAAATAATACTTAAATAAAATCACTGTTCAATTTAGACCAAATATCTAATTCTCACTCTGCTTTCGTCATAAATTATATATTCAGTTTATGCAGTCTTAAACCCATTTTAATGCCCTAATTTTTCTTTCAGATGATCAGGAAAAGGCTAAGAAACGAGATTACCTATGGGAACAACACATCCGTTTGGTAATTTAATTTAAGACATGGAATCTGGACCTTAGGATCCTACAACCCTTAAAGTTATTTCAGGTTCTAATTATAACAAAATTGATTACTAAAGTAGGTACTGATATCTTATTAGTGATAATTATAAAGATCCACTTGATTCGTACAACTCACCTCACATAATAATAAATATCTGTATTTTTGAAGATTTTGATATTACAATTGAGATCTCCAATTATTATTGCCTTATCTGATTGTAGAATCAGTAGTATAGTTATAGCTCTTGGCAAATTGGTCTGCAAAATAGATTCCTTTTCCATACAAAGCTCCTGTATTTACAGCCCAAGAAGGTGCAACTAATCAATAAAATTGCTATATTACTTTTCAATCCAAGTGCCATCAAACTAATGAAATTTGATATTTTTGAGCCATGCCATAGCAACATTCTAGGCCCATTATTAAATTACTCAAATTTTTTCGCCTCTCCTTTCCTTTCAATAGCAAAAATGTTTGAGATTTTTACAGTTTAAGTTTTTCCCATATATGTCTTTATCATCTTATATTCTAAATCATCCTTTGTTAATGTAAGCATTTTAATATTTAATGCATTAAAACAATATGCTAATGGATGAATAGTATCTGCCTTAAAATGAGCTCCTAGAAGTATTTTAACTGAGAGTTCAACATTGAGGAGTACCTCAACTAATTATAATTATTAATTAATGTTTTTATCGTTTTCCAGTAAAGGTAGCACATTTTATCTCATTTAAGTTTAGGGTATAAGTTCATAATATCTAGCTGATTTCTCGTTGATCTCAGAGTAAAATTGTTACAATCTCTTTAGATCTTGGTCTGTTAATTTCATATATTCTTCAAGTTCTTTTACTATTTCCTTAAGTTCTAATAAATATTCTTTGGCTTTTAAAATTACGGTTTTATTTAATTTTTCCAATGGAACAAAACTTGTGTCAAAATGATAGTTTTATAATTCCTACTAATACAATTTTACCTGTGAAAATTGTTCAATCACAGTTTAAATACTTTAATGTAATAAACACTTAGGATATGGAGATTTATCGCTTAAATCAAAAGGCTTTAAGAATGTTTTATAACTGACATTGTTGCTAAATTGCATTAATTGATATTTTCCTGGTTTCTTCTCAAATTCTTGTTCGCCTCTTTTGATTAATTTCCAATTATTTCCCCCTGTTTTTGCTGAGAAAATCTTGCAGTATTCTTTTATAGTAGCCTCTAAATTTTCAAAAGGAGTCATTTAAAATTAACCTTCTTCCCCAATTTAACCCCATTTTGTAAATAAAATGTAATTATTCCTATTTTAATCCAATAGAATTTGCATTTTATAGAATACATTCTTATGGAAATTC